TCACTCCCAGGGGAACTACTTCGAGGGTGATGGATGAATTTAATACCTGAGATAAGTGTACGGGTTTTTATACGCGCAGTCTTGAAACTTTCCGATCGCACCTAGTAAGTGTTCATCTCAAATCGCACTGAAACTCTCAGGCACCAGATACCCCGCGTTTCCGATCAAGAGAAGTCAGCACAGTCTGCATCCTTGCGATCCGCTGTTACACGTTCAAATAAATCCCTCCTAACACTGGTTAGCAGAAGGGAATCCAGAAAAAGCTTAAAACGTAATGAGGGCTGTGGGAATCCAACCACGTGTTGAGGCAGGAACTATGATGGAAAACACGGTAACAAATGAAACGAGCGGCCCGTTATAATAAATCTTTCTAACAAAACGTGTTTTAGGAATGAAATGTATACGAGAGGATGAGAAAATACACGAATTAAAGGTGCCGGAACATTACTCAATCATTAAAAAGATCCGTGTTTGGGAAGTCGGGAGTTCTGTTTCCTTGTAATCGCATCGTAACGTCCACGACCTCCACAAACACAGCGACGAGGGCATTACATCAACAGCAGAATTTCAAAACGAACTGTAGAGTCACAGCCTCGTACGCAAAAGGTCTCGGATTCTATCACCCGCACAACAGTAGCCACAAATGTCGAAATAGAAATAAATAATATAGGATTTGAGGCTTTCTCGGGCAATCAGCCACGTTAACTGGTTACCGTAGTAAACCGACGTTTCGGGAACCAACTCTGTCCCCATCATCAGGGTTCTGATGTGATTAGATACCTCGTAAGTCGCCTTAACTGGTTACCGTAGTAAACCGACGTTTCGGGAACCAACTCTGTCCCCATCATCAGGGTTCTGATGTGACTAGATATCTCGTAAGTCGCCTTAACTGGTTACCGTAGTAAACCGACGTTTCGGGAACCAACTCTGTCCCCATCATCAGGGTTCTGATGTGACTAGATATCTCGTAAGTCGCCTTAACTGGTTACCGTAGTAAAACCAGTTAACGCGGCTGATTGACCGAGAAGATTTTATTGAGAAATAAATAAATCTGTCAGTTGAGAAACAATGATAAAAAAGATATCAGAACCAACATCGCAAATAAAACGTTCCTCAAGCTGGTTACTGTTGTGTTTGAAAAAAAACCCTTCACATGATATTATGAAACTGTTCGACCTCGTGCAATCCTTTTGGAGCTGAAATACCGCAGATTAATAATTCTAATATCAACCACTAACAACAGCCCTTCAGCTATCGCCATAAAATCACGAAGTTATCACCCTGGTTTCAATTCTGAATAAAAGAATCCTGTAGGACGCATATATATATAAATAAATAAATATATTCCTTAGACGCACTAATGACCCGCACTTAACTTCGCAGATTAGAGATTAGGGCTGATCCCTGAATGCTGTAAAACTCACACGGAACAATAACGCCATGTTTTCGTCAGCTAAGCGTGCTTCCGGAAATGAACGCGGACGTCAACTCTGGAGAATTAAAAGCTGTCGAGACTGGAGTTACACAAATGGAGACAACATTCGGGGCAAAAATTAATTACGGATCAATGCAGTGTAAGAAATTAAACCCCCGTCTTTGTCTGTAGATTTACAGCTCATAACTCTGCTAGAAAGTCCACACAGATAAATATCAGGGACTACCAATCCGGTGAAACTTGAGAAGAAAATTTCTTTGGTTTATTATAAGAAATATTCCTGCATTCCCAAAGGCACAAAAGACTACGTAGGCCAGTTTCCACTGATGAACTGACAGCCAAGCATCAGAATTTCAGTCAATACCAGCATCACAAAGGAGCTCAGCTTTAAGATGCGTGTCACGTGTGTCGCAAATTGTGTTGAGCCCAAGGAAAGACGTTCGGACATTTCGTGAAAACTTGGAGTTCAACAATACGTCGTCAAACGCTGAAGTTACGTTCACGAAAGCCACAGAACCAAGGCTTTTTTTTGGGAATCTGGGGCGTAGGGCAACTGTCCCTGCTGCAGACAATCGCCTGGTCCTCCACTAAACGCAAAACAAGGATTGGAAACGTGCATTCTTTGAAGGACACGAAACTTCCAGACGTGTTCCTTGCAACAGAGGACTCCCAGTACAATCCTGGCGCCGAAAAATGTCTCTCTCTTTTTCTTTTCCGTGTAAAATGAGTGAACATGCGTATAAGACCACATACCGCGGATGAAAAAACCGCATATAAGAGGTGCGATCGGAAAGTTTCAAGACTGTGTCAATAGCGGGCGAACCGGGTGTAGTACGAGCTTCTGCCGCTAGGGGGTGCGACCTACATTCATAGTGAATCAGTGAGCCAGCCGGCATCATCGAATTAGCATTTGTTTCTTAGTTACGGGCGTTTTGGTAGTGCATTACACCGACCCTCCTGCGATTTCGGAATGGCGTGTGCATCAAATTTGGCCAAAGACTCGCCAAAACGGCTACGGAAACCTATGAAATGCTAAAGCAAGCATTTGGGGAAATACTTCGAAATGGGTCGTGCACAAACTTTTGTGGGGCATTCACGTTTTAAAAATGGCCGAACCCCTG